GATGCAAGCTTCCCAGGTCTACTATTGAATGGTGTTCCAGTGATCTGGGTACATGTACAGGGTACCCTAGACAAGTTGGGTCCTAGATATGTTACCTAATGTGTTACAGTGGCCCTTGATAGGAGAGATAAAAAAGGGAAAAGTAGATCTGCAATGAGAAGGGATGTGAAAACTTGGGAAAGGAGAGGGAACAGGATGTGTGACGGATGCTTAGTGTTTCTTCGACAGATGCATGGGCTATGTTTGAGTTCCCTTACAGCAGTAGGCACCTTCCTTGATTAGTTCAGCTGGTGAAGTATGATTTAAGCCTCATTAAGCAACTTCATGATGTTTGAATGAAAAGAGAAGCTCATAAAAAATCTGTCTCCTAGTTCAAGCAGCAATCTTCACTGTCTTCTGGACATATCAGAGACTCAGCACTATCTGAGTTTCAAAAGAAAAAGTTGGCCAAGTGCTGTGACAGCTTGACACAGCCCCTCACTGTTTGCTCCTTTGTGTCATTAATTCCAGCTTAACCAGTGCCCTGGATTCAGTGCAATGCTACAAGGAGAAAAAGCCAAGTCTCTCCGCTGACCTAGATGAAGAACAGCACTTCTCTTGTGTTCGGCATTATGCAAGGTAGGCCTCTTGGCTCTGCCTTTTATTGCTACATGGCATGATACCTAGAAGTTTACTCAGGGGCTGAGATCACATCTGGATTAGACATCGAAAAGAAAAAGGAAAAAAGAAATGCCAGTGTCCCTGTTGATTTACCTGACCACCAAGTAACAGAGTCAGGCTCCCTCTTTCTGTTGCTGCAATGGCTCTGTGTGGTACTTTCACTTACCATGAGCCCTTGGTAGCAGTTCAGAGGCTGAGATTCAACATGCAGTGCAAAGCAAGGTTCTGGGATAACACAGCTCCAGGGCAGGTTGTTAGCACCTTGGACTGACAGCAGCAAGTCCAAAAGAAAGTATAGTAGCCAAATCGAGCCTTAGGCAGCTTCACGAAAACCTCCTGGACCAGGGGCATGTGTATAAAGATGCTTGAATTCTGGTGCTCAGGAAGAAGAGAGGTACCTAAGAAGAGGAGAGGTGCCTGCCAGAGCAGGCAACACCTGATCAGGAACGTGTGCACCTTCCCTGGCTTGGCAGGTAGAGATCTTGCACTCTGACAAAGGATGCAGCTAGCAAGTTGATGCAGCTAATGCTTTTTCTGGGTCCGCTGCTTTGACAAATGCATTTAAAATCTAACTTACCCTAGTGACCACATCCCCCATTCCTTTCTTTCAAGGGAGATCACAGCACAGACATAATGCAGGATCAGCTTAGTACATTTTGCTGGTTCCTTGATTACACGTTTCTAAGAGTACGACTGACTCCTCTCCCCAGCTGCCAAGTTGTTGTAGCCATAATAAATGTTAAAATGGTTGCTAACTTAGTTTAAGTGAACTTGTCTTTTTTTGGGAGTAGAGTGATTAAGAACCCCCACCATGACACTGCTGGCAAAATATCCTCACAGATGCAGCACTGCAAAGAAAGCCACACAGATAGTTGGAACAAGCTGGAGAGAACAAAGTTTAATCACAATGCTGGAAACTGATGTGCTGTTCTCTCCCACACACTCTCTTAATATAATCCCTTGTTCAGCAGTCTAATCATCTGCAAAACAATAATTTCTACTAGCTCTAACATTCAACAGCCTCAAAAATAGTCAATGAACATTAGCTAGTTAATAAGCAACCTGCCCCCTGAAGTCAAGGAAGTATGTAAATTGTGACAGCAAGAAGAGCTGAGGAAGAGAGATTGAGAAAGAAGTAAAGCTGGCAGCAGTGGTGACACAGAAGACCCTAACCCAGCTGGTAGGACAGCCTTCACAAGCCATGTGCTTCACAAATTATCAAGGTATTTATTTGAGGTGGAGCAGTGTACAACTTGGCAATGAACAGGGCCGAGGATACGCTAGAAGACTGAGTATACGTTTTACTGCATATTTAAACTGACAGTGGATTTTTTTTAAACAAAGATTAAAAGCATGCATAATGTTGTAAGCATATGTATCTTCAAAAGAAAGACAAAATAGACTTTACAGCTGCAGCAGAGAAACAGTATTGGGAGAATTAATGAGTTCCCCAAAATTAACATTATTATCTTTTTAATTGTCTTGAGACTTCACAAAAAAAGCAGGA